TTGTTGGTCTCAGCTTTGGGACTTTCTTGTACCAGGGTCTTCTTTCAGTCTGGGCCCTTGTGACTAATCTGAATGGTTAGTCACCCAGCTGGTGGTCTGGCAGTGATCCACAGCACAGAGAGTCTGCCTGGATTCCAACGGAGGATTCCTACGAGCAAGTGGAAAGAAGATGCAGCAAATTGTGCAGATTTGGTGCCCAAAGACCCTCACTGAGACTTAGGTGAACCAAACTTAAGCTTTTGGGATCCCTCACTTACTGTGTTTTGTAAGGACCGAGTTGTTCACATTTCGCTTTTGCTTTTCTCTTTCTGTTTATTGTAACTGTGAAGATAATGCCTGTGGATTATACAACAGCTCTGCCATGTTGTAAAACTAGATTGTTATTTGTTTCCTCATCATAAGATTTTACCAAGTTATTTAGTTAAATTCATTTCTTTAGTTCCTTTTGGCAACTGAACATGGCGAAGCCGACTGAGTGCAACCTTTGCTGACAGTCGTTAAAGACTGAAAACGCTGGGTCTCCAGATACGTTTCTATGGAAGTTGGTGGTTTTTTAAGGCACTGGAGAAGCGCAGTGAAGTGAACCCCAAGGTCACAAGTACACGAAGAATGAGAAGATGTGTTTATCTGACTTGCATAGAGCAATGAAATCAGCAATGTCAATATGAAGCTGAATTCTTTCTGCCCTTTTGTGAGAAATTCCCAGATCATCACCAGCACTGCAAAGCCAGTGGAAAATCGGAGTCCAGGAGCAGAGCTGGCTGCATGTGCCCCTCTCAGCAAGTGGACATAAAAGACGCGTTCAGATGGACGGGGAAGGCTCCACGTCACTGGCGGTCCCAGCAGAGAAGAGCAGAAGGTTGTGGAAAATCAGCTGCTGACTCCACAGATAAGGTCGGCAGAGTGTGTGGGGGAGAGTGTAGCATTCAGGATGCTCTCAAAGGACGTGCCGGTGACGCTTGGTTTGAACGCTCATCCGTAGCGCCCGGAGGAGCGATAGCGATGGAAACGCAGGTTGGTTTGGTGCGAGGGATCCCGCTACACCCAATAACAAGTGGCCAATGAGTAAAGCGTCTCTGGCATTTACCTGTGTGACTCCTCTCTGCGGAAACACCCAAAGTCTGGGAAAGGCAAGCGCCATAGGGCAGGGAGGGTGATTCGTGACGTTCGGGGTGAGAAGAGCTTCCAAGCGCCACCTTGCAAAGCCCTCTAGACACAGGGACGTCCTGTCTCGGAGGTTGCCCTGCCGTTCATGGACTGGAGTCTAGAGCGGCAGCACCGCCAGAACAGGGTGGGCCCAGGGGCCCCGGCCCTGCTGCTTTTGAAAGCGAAGGGGCCTGTCCAGTCCAGGTTTTGCCTGAGCCTGGCCCTCTGCTAGGCATGGGACAGGTTAACCAATGAACTGATCGGCATCTCCCGGAATGAGTGATGCACCCTGGTTCTGGTTTAGTGGTTGGGGCTGGGCAGCTCCCTGCCAGCCGGGGTAGGAGCTGCTCCAGTCCCCCTGAGGCTACCATGGGCATGGCCAGTCCAGCCCGGCTGAAGCAGCTCCTGCCCGTGGTGGGCCCAGGAGCACAGCAGGGCTTCAACATTGCAACTTGGGAAGCGTCTGGTGCTGCTGGTTCGACAGGGAGGAGTTTCACCCAGAGCAATTTTTTTTCAACCAGGAGGGAGGGACATGAAGAATCACAACATGAATGTTCTGAATGAGGCAGCAGAGTTTTTAATGCAAATGAAATTGGCAATAAACGACAGGAGTAATTCTGCAGAGCTGAAAGAGAATTTGCACAGTTTCCAAAAGGGCTACAACCGACCCCCCGCCTGTTCATTTTGATTTACAGCAGCTGCAGAGGCTGATAGACAAATCCTCTTTGTAACCATTTCAAGTTCCTTCTTTTACCCGATTCTGTGGGATATGAGACAAAACAAAATACAAGCATGGACTGTTCAGCGTCTCTGTTGTAGATCTGCTGTAGCAAAGGTAAAGACGAGGTGCTGTTCCGTCACCCGGCGGGGTTGGTGGGAGCAGCCTGCGTGTCACTCAGAAGGAGCCCACAGGCCAGGAGGAGACTCAGCGCGGGGCTGGCAAAGCAGGAGCAGAAGGAGCCATGAAGCGTGAGGGGAGCAATGCAGCCTGGCTCCCAGACCCAGGGCTGAGCACACACAGCTCCCACTGAGCTCAGCTGGAGCCGGGTTTGCCCAGCACGTCTGAAAGCCAAGCCCCAAAGCTCAGGGGGGAATCTGTATCCGGCCGTTCATTGCCTGGGTCTGCCACGGATGGGCCTGCTGGGTTTAGCAAGGCGCACAGCTTCCACTGCGGTACCTGTGGCAGGACACCCCGGAACCGACTACTCCCCCGTAGCCATAATATAGCCACAGTATCCCCCGTGAGCATAACGACCTGGGTAGCCCCAGAACCCTCCATTACCATAAAAGCCTGGGTAGCCGCAGTATCCCCCATGAGCATAACGTCCTGGGTAGCCCCAGTACCCTCCGTTACCATAAAAGCCTGGGTAGCCCCATAAGCCCCCATAACCGTAACGGCCTCCATAACCATAACCCCCATAACCGAACAACCCTCCGTAACGGCCTCCATAGCCGTACAATCCCCCGTTAGCGAAGGAGCCCCCGTAGCCGGCTCCCACCACAGGTTCTCCTACGGCTGGCACTTCGCTCTGCTGAGGGGAGGGGGTGGGAGGGCACTGCCGAACGCACGGCTCGTTGCAGGTACCAGAGACGGGGCTGGGCCGGGCCACCCCGCATTCTGGATAGCACAGGCTGGAGAAAGCCATCTCGGTGGGATGCAGGTAAACCTGGAACACACAGCAGGGGGCAGAGTGAAGGGAAGGGACAAGTGCCAGGGGCAAAAAGGCCTCAAAGCTGGGTTACAATTGTAGTGTTTAGCCATGGCACCCAAGTGAGCAAGGAGGAGGGGACATAGTCCCTATATTCACGGTCATGTATGTGTTCCTGTTTTCTTATTCTACTCCTCTTCTCCATTCTTATTAATCTGTCCTCCCAATCAGCCACTTTGAGCCTCTCTCAACGACTTTGCTTGGAAAACACCGACTGGAATTAATGTAACTCTTTCTGTGATAAACACCTTAGACTATGGGTCCATTTCAGACATTTCTCAAAGACGTGCTAGCTGGGTAATTCCTTTGAGGAGTTAATGTCTGCATGCAAAGCCGCTGAGTCCAGTAACACAATGTGACTCTGGTTTTCCAAGTTGTGGGAGACACCAAAACTTGCTGATGAATAAATGGTTTTTTTTTTTGTTTTTCTAATCACATCACTAAGGACAACTTCCTCATCTGGGGAAAATGGACTCCGCTACTCTGGGACAGTGAATCCCATATGGAGAAGTGGCACATTCCCTGGTCTTTTTGCTCAGAAAAATGGAGGAATTGCAAGACTGGATCAATCCTTTGTGAGTTTAATCCAGTGTCATGTCTCCTATAGTGAGGAGTAACAGCTGCTTCAGAGTAAAGTAGGAGACGGCTGAATCAGCCCTTTCTGGAATAGCCTGCGAAATTATCCTCCTGATCCAGTGAAGTGAAAAATTATTAAGGATGTTTCTAATGTTACTGACAAAATTTAAATACCCTAATTCTATTTCCAGGTAAGAAGCATATGTTTCTCATTTGCCTATGTCACTCTTCATGGGCATCCTTTGGTTGGAAATCATGAATCGAAAAGCACCTGCAGATTTATAGCTGCGCAAGATAATTATGGAAGAACACACAGATCCCCAGTAAAAATTATAGTGAGTACATGGAAGTTTCAGTCCTAAAGGAAAATAGCCCCAAGTGTGATATCACTAGAGGTTCGAAGAGAATCAAATTGGTCTTACCTGGTTCACTGAGGAGATGAAGTCCAGAGAAGTGTTTGGAAAAGTGTTGACTGGTGAGCTCTTTTATACAGTTCCTAGGACAGCCTGGAGGAGCTGGGATGCTTTGTGGAGGAGGTCCTAATTAGTTACCAAACAAACTTGATTGCCTTTGTAAGTCCTCTTTTGGTTGGAGCTGTTTGCCTCAGCGTTGGTGATTATTGGGCTAATCTCAGCCTCAGTGGGCGGGACAGACATGTTGCGTCTTCAGCTTCCTTTCATCTTCAAATTGTATGGGCCAGCATCATTTCTCGTGTCCTTGCGCCAACTTTAATGGGGCTGCAAGGAGGACGAATGTCAAAGTGATTCTGAGCAGCAGGAGTAGCTCAGCTGGATGTCAGGCAAGGAATCCAGTAGGGTCCTTTCAGTTCATGCTGGTCATGACTGGCAGCACTGGGCAGGTCATTCTACACAGTCTAGCAAGGAAGGAGCCAATTTTCTGCATTTTCACCACCCCCTTTCTAGCATGTTGAATCAAGCCATTCTGTAATCACTGGGAGTGTGTCTAGACTACCTAGTTTTGTCAACAAAAGTCCACTTTTGTCGACAAAACTATCCCAGCGTCTACACTACCGCTGAGTTCTGTCGACATAACGTCGACAGAACTCAGCAGTTTTGTCGACACTGGTATACCTCATTTTACGAGGCATAACACCTTCTGTCGATAGAACTCTGTCGACAGAAGGTGTTATGCCTCGTAAAATGAGGTATACCAGTGTCGACAAAACTGCTGAGTTCTGTCGACGTTATGTCGACAGAACTCAGCGGTAGTGTAGACGCTGGGATAGTTTTGTCAACAAAAGTCCACTTTTGTCGACAAAACTATCCCAGCGTCTACACTACCGCTGAGTTCTGTCGACATAACGTCGACAGAACTCAGCAGTTTTGTCGACACTGGTATACCTCATTTTACGAGGCATAACACCTTCTGTCGATAGAACTCTGTCGACAGAAGGTGTTATGCCTCGTAAAATGAGGTATACCAGTGTCGACAAAACTGCTGAGTTCTGTCGACGTTATGTCGACAGAACTCAGCGGTAGTGTAGACGCTGGGATAGTTTTGTCAACAAAAGTCCACTTTTGTCGACAAAACCCTGTAGTCAAGACGTACCCACTGGGAATATTCCTGTTCTTCCTGCATGTATCCTGTCTAAAATTCCCTTTAGCAGGGGGATCGTACAATGACTGTGAACAACTTTAGTCCAATTTTACACTTTCAATCTGGGTCTTAGCAGGTTCTAAAGTAGAACATGGGTCTTTGTGCCCTGTGCCCAGAGGTGAAGCTTACTGTATGATGAGGAAAACATGACCTAACATCGGATCTCCAGTTGGATTACCAGTGTTCTCTCAAAGGGTGCCTAAAGTCAGTTTGCTCATGGGTCTGTTTTATGCCCACATCTTGAATGCAGTGTCTGATGTGGTCACATCATCTCAAAAAAGATAGCTTAGCCTTGGAAAATGTTCAGGAAGGGCCAACAAAAATGGTTTGTGGTTTTGGAGCAGCTGCCATATTAACCGATTAAAAATGGGGAATTTTCCATTTAAAAAAGAGGAGACTCAGGGTTTGTCTATGCTGCATAGTTTTTCCAGAAAAATGGCTATTTTTCTGGAAAAACTATACTGACGTCCACACTGATATTGCATTCTTTCGACAGCAAGTCGAAAGAATGGAGGGGTTTTCCCGACAGCGGTGAACCTCTTTCTGCGAGGAAGAAGCCTTTTTCTGAAAAAGCTTTTTTGGAAAAAGGCATATGTGGATGCGGAAGAGGGAATTTTTCGAAAGAAGAGGCCTCTGGCAAAAAGCACAGGTGCCCTAGTGGTCACTCCGTCCACAATAATCACAAGTTAAATGTGAGATAGCATCCAATGTGGATAGAAAAAGCACATTGCTTTTGCTGCGTGGACGCTCTCTTTGAAAGAAGTTTTTCCGGAAAATCTGTTCTGGAAAAGCTTCTTCTGAAAGAAACCTGGAGTCTAGATGTAGCCTAAGGGGGGTATAATAGTGGTCTATAAAATCATGACCAGTCTGGAGAGGAAAAGTTATTTACTTACTTTTATAGCACAAAACCCAGAGGCCACCAAAAGGAAAAGTTATTTACTTGCTTTTATAGCACAAAACCCAGAGGCCACCAAATCAAACAATCAAAAGGAGGTATTCATGCAACACACAGTCAATCTGTGGAACTCCTTGCAAGAGGATGTTGTGAAGTCCAGGATTTTAACAGGATCCAAAAAAGATCAAAATCAATTCATGTATAATAGCTAATAGCCATTGATGGACCTACGATGGGAGGAAAGGTATCCTTAGCCTCTGTTTGTCAGAAGGATGGAATGGAGACAGCAGATGTATCCCTTGAGGATTCCCTGTTCTGTTCATTTTCTCGGGAGCACCTGGCATTGGCCACTGTTGGAGGACAGGACACTGGGCAATTTATTCCATTTGAGAACCGCTGGATAAAATGAACTTTATAACAGCATGTTCAAGTTTCTGATGTCCTGACAACAATCAGCAGATGTTTCCCAGCCTCTGAATCTGGGGCCATTTGATTTTAATTCAATACAACTTTGTATTTCCTTTTCCTTTGCAAATATTCCTTTGCTGAGCCAGGAGACACCAGTACAGCTCCTTAGACTTCAATATCATCCAGGGACTGATAGCCAGAGTCAGAAATAAATCCCCATAGTTGGGACCACACATTCCAAACGCTAACCTGTGTCTCCGTAACTCTACTGGATGTTCCCAGGTACGTCTCTCACCTGAGAGAAACTCTTAGGCTATGTCTAGACGGCAAGCCTCTTTCGAAAAAGAGCGTTACATCCTGCTCCAAAGACCTTTTAAGACCACACTTGAAAGAGAATCCTCTGAGCTGTCATTCATGCTTAAATTTGACACTTTACGCCTAAGTTTAAACAAAGACGTTAATTATCTTACCCATTACAAAGATAGCTTCCCCAATTATCACCTCTAATATCATTCGCTCACAGACATTTATCTTCTCCTCCATCCCCCTTCTGTTCTGAAATTTGATTTGTCCTTTTCATATGTGTTCATTTTTTTAATTGTATCCTTTGGTATATATGGTTGTGACAATTTTCTTCCACTATTTGAGCCGAGGAAGTGGGTCTGGCCCACGGAAGCTCATCACCTAATAAACCATCTTGTTAGTCTTTAAAGTATGTTCGTTTTTTTTTTTTTTTTTTTTTTGAAAAAGCACAGTTTGCATTACATAGCGCCTTTTTTCGAGAGAGCACTTTTGGTATCACGAGCTTTCGTGGGCACAGCCCACTTCTTCAGATGACCGGAGTTATGACTAGAGGATAAGAAAACTTGAAATAAATAGCAGAAGAGAAGGGGGGAGGGGGAAGAAAGATGCTCTGTCGTCTACCCCCTACCTCTATACATAAAGTATCGGGAGAAAGGGTGCTAAACCTGAGTAGATAAAGATCAAAGTCAATGGATGGATTGCCAAGGCAGGAAGAATATCATTCAGAAAGTTGTTAGCACCTTCAGTGATAAAGGGTCTATCACCCCATATCTTGATTAAGTCCATTAGTAATTGAATTGAATTTGTATATGTATTGTCATTCCAAGCTTTCCCTGTGTATTTGGCTTGAGCAGCTGGCCTGTGACAAGACCACCACCTTCAGAGATTACGATTAGGTAAACAGAAATGTTCAGAAACTGGCTTCGGAGTATTTTCTTTGAATGGTTATGTAGAGAAGGGCTTGAGTAGAATGTTTCTATTTCACAGAAACAAGACAGGACTATGCAGCACTTTAAAGACTAACAAGATGGGTTAATTAAGGCCTCACGTAATAAACCATCTTGTTAGTCTTTAAAGTGCTGCATAGTCCTGTCTTTTGTTTCAGCAAGACCAGACTAACACGGCTGCATCTCTATTTCTGTTTCACAGAGAATATGTTAAATTGGACAGAATGCCGCTAAATCATCAGAATTTGTATACAGTTTCTGTGATTCATTACAATGGTGTGTTTCTGAGGAAAGAAAAAGCACACACCGACTATGTCTATACTGCACCCTTCTTCCGCAAAAGCTTATGCAAATGGAGCATAGAGTAGAATATCACCGCACTTCTTGAAAAAATGAGGAAGAACGGCTCTTGCGCAAGAGGGGTTTTTTTGTGTGCAAAAAGGCACCATCCACACAGTTCCTTTTTGTGCAAAAGCCTCTTGCGCAAAAACAGTCCCTAATTAATTATGCAAATGAAGCACGGCGATATTCTACTCTGTGCTTCATTTTGCATACGTTTTGGTGGAAGAAGGGGGCAGTATAGACGTAGCCACAGTGTATTTGGTAACTTCACTGCATTCAGTGTGAGGAATATAGTTTAAAACAAGTATTTTAAGCTTGAACTCCATCTTGATAGTCACAATGCCACTACACTTGGAATTCCTTCAGAGAAGTATTATCCTCAGGCATAAAGAAGCCACAGTTAAAATGAATCACAGCATTAGACCGTTTTTTATTGCTAACGCTTCAATAACAGGATGCAAGCATTTTACTTTCCTTCTCTAGTCACACAGCGTAACAGGGATCAACCGAGAGCCACGCCTGTGGAAGGAAGACTCTGAAGTATTTCGTTATATTTCTTTTTCTACAGCTGACCCCTGTGTGACCTTCACCTCAACGTCCCCATTTTTCTAGGCCTCAAATTTATAGAATCATAACATACTAGGACTGGAAGGGACTCGAGAGGTCATCGAGTCCAGTCCCCTGCCCTCATGGCAGGACCAAATACTGTCTAGACCATCCCCGATAGACATTTCTCTAACCTGCTCTTAAATATCTCCAGAGATGGGGATTCCACAACCTCCCTGGGCAATTTATTCCAGTGTTTGACCACCCTGACTGTTAGGAACTTTTTCCTAATGTCAAACCTAAACCTCCCTTGCTGCAGTTGAAGCCCATTGCTTCTTGTTCTATCCTCAGAGGCCAAGATGAACAAGTTTTCTCCCTACTCCTTCTGACACCCTTTTAGATACCTGAAAACGGCTCTCATGTCCCCCTCAGTCTTCTCTTTTCTAAACTAAACAAACCCAATTCTTTCAGCCTTCCCTCATAGCTCATGTTCTCTAGACCTTTAATCATTCTTGTTGCTCTTCTCTGGACCCTCCCCAATTTCTCCAGGGAGGAATAATGTTATGGCTGCAAATGCTTCAGTGTCCTCAGGCCTCAAAATTTTATAGCCTCCCACGCCCTCCCTGGTGTTTCACATGTAGTGATTGTTGTTGGGATTAGACGCCTCTGAAGTGAGTCATAGAGTCACTTTACACAAAATAGAGGACGAGGTCTTTCATGTCATCTGCTGAATCAGGTCATGATTTGAGGACACACAATTTGTGTCTATTTCATTGTCACTCTCAGGTAGTACTGAACAGGGTATTTTTCACACGTCAGTCACAGTGGCACGACACACTTCAGGTCCTATCAGCTTGAATGAGCCGTGCATGAGGCTGGCCTCTGACTCTGAAGCGACCAGACGTGCACCGGTTCATGAATCTACCTGGGCCAACTCTTCACAATTTCTCTCAGCAGAAGCAAATGAGACCAAAGGAAAAGCAGGAGTCAGAGCAGGCTTCAGAGGCTTATATGCTGGTATGTCATTAGGATGTAGTGGGCCCTCGGCAGGACTATTAAACTCTGCACCTGTGCCCAGCGGCTGTCGGCTGGGAGGAAGAACGATTTTTAGAGCTGTGATTTTATAATCTTCAGCACCACACTCAGGAAATATTTTTAACTCAGGTCCTGTGGAATTAATCCAGAAACTGTCAGTACAGACCTGGTGTTAGCAAGTGCCGGTTAAACAGCTTCATTACCTTTTGCATGGCTCTTTCCCAGGTTGACTGGTCTACAGATAGCTCTGGTAGGCTTTGTGATTTGTAAGTTAACCAGATCTTCTCCAGAGAAAGCAGATCCACAGAAGAGAGATAGGAAGAGGTGGATGGGTGGACATTAAGACCCAGCGAGGCCCCAAATATAAGGCTGCCCTCCAAAGCTGCATATTCTGTGGATGAGTAAGGGCGGCCTTGCCCATTTGCTTTTGGAGGGATAAGTGGAATAAATTGCCTAGGTAAATTGTGGAATCTCTATCACTGGAGGAAGAGACGATTTCTGCTAAAGTGCAGGTTCAAGTCTTAAACCCATTCTGTACAAGAGAACTGCTTGATAAGCACATAGGAACAGCCACAGTGGGTGAGACCAAAGGTCCATCTGGTCTAGTGTCTTGTCTTCTGACAGTGGCCAATGCCAGGTGCTCCACAGACAATGAACAGAACAGGGAATCCTCACATAATCCATCCTGTCACCTATTCCCAGCTTGTGACAAATAGAGGCGAGGGACACCATTTCTAATAACCATTGATGGACCTAACCTCCATGAATATCTAGCTCTTTTTTGAACCTTGTTATAGTCCTGGTCTTCACAACATCCTCTGGCAAGGAGTTCCACAAGTTGTCTGTGCGTTATGTAAAGAAAAACTTCCTTTTCTTTGTTTTAAACCTGCTACCTTTTAATTTCATTTGGTGACCCCTAGCTCTTATATTATGAGAGCAAGTAAATAACTTTTCCTCTCCAGACCAGTCATGATTTTTTAGATGTCTCTCATATGCCCCCTTAGTGTCCTCTGTTCTGAGCTGAAAACACACAGTTTTCTTGATCTCTCTTCATATGGTAGCCGTTCCAAAGGACTCACCATTTTTGTTTCCCTTCTCTGAACTTATTCCAAAGCCAAGAGATCTTTTTTGAGAAGATGCAAGTACATCTGCACGTAGTATTCAAGATGTGAGCATAATATGGATTTATGTAGACGCAATATGATATTCTCTGCCTTATTTTCTATCCCTTTTTAATTGTTCCTTTTACTCTCTGCCATCCCGCCTCATAACCCAGGAGCAAACGGACTCTGGGCAGCCCTTGGAGAGAGCATTGGTAGCCCAAGAAGAGACCTAATGTTAGGTCAAGTTTTCCTCATGAAAGTGTAAGATTCACCACTGGGCACAGGACCATCACAAAGGCCCATGTTCCGCTGTAGTGCCTGCTAAGACCCAGTTTAAAAGTTTACCATTTTTAGACTTAAAGGTCCTGACAGGAAACATGCTGCAGGAACCGAAAAGATTCCCATCGATTTCAAAGGAACTTGATCCTACTTAGTAGGAAGAAGGGATTGAGAATGTAACAAAGTTACTCCTTCCTTCCCAGCTGGTTTAGAATGGACTGTACAAAGCCGCCAGTCATGACCAGCATGAACTGAAAGGACTGTACTGGATCCTTTTCATGACACAGCTGTGCTACTCATGTCTTTCTGAATCACCTTGACCTTCATTCTCATTGCAATACTGGATCCTTTTCATGACACCCAGCTGTGCTACTCACGTCTTTCTGAATCACCTTGACCTTCATTCTCATTGCAACCTCAATAAAGTTGGTCAAGGACACGAGAAATGCTCTTGGCCTGTACAATTTGAAGATGAAAGGAAGCTGGAGATGCAACGTGCGTGTCCCGCCCTCTGAGGCTGAGATTAGGCCAATAATCACCAACGCTGAGGCAAACAGCTCCATCCAAAGGAGAAGGTACGCAGACAATCAAGTTTATTGGGTAACTAATTAGGACTCCTCCACAAAGCATCCCAGATCCTCCAGGCAGTCCTTGGAACTGTATAAAAGAGCTCTCCACTCACCGTTCTTCTAAATACTTCTCTGGACTTCATCTCCTCGTTGAACCAGGTAAGCCCAATTGAACCAGGTAAGCTCAATCTCTTTCTAACCCTAGAGATACCACAGTGGGGGCTATTTTCCCTCCGGACTGAATCTTCCATGTATGAGCTATGATTTTTATTAGGGATCAGGGTGTACTTCCATAATTGTCTTGTGCAGCTGGAATGTTGCAGATGCTGGTGGATTCATGATTTCCAACCAAAGAGAGGCCTTTATGAGCAACATAGGCAAATGAGAAACCTATGTCCTGTTACCTGGAAATAGAATTACGGTATTCAAATTTTATCAGTAACATTAGACTCATCCTTAAATATTTTTCACTTTTTAACTGGATTAGGAGGATGATTACCTAGGTTATTCTAGAAAGGGCTGATTCAATTGTCTTCTACTTTACTCTGAACCAGCTGTTACTCCTCACTATTGGAGACATGAGACTGGCTTCAGCTGACAAAGGTTTGGTCCAGTCTCACAATTCCTATGTTTTTCTGAGCAAAAAGACCAAGGTATGTGCCTTTTCTCCCATGTGAGATTCAGTGTCGCTCTGTAGAAGTCAGGGGACCTGAGCCTGTATTCTCTTGTTGAGGAAATTGTCCTTAGTGATTTCTTTGGAAAAACAAAAAGACTCCATTTATTCAGCAGCAAGTTTTGGTGACTCCCAAGGCATGGAAAACCAGTCACATTGTGATACTGGACAGAACTGCTTTGCAAGTGAATGTTAACTTAAAGGAAAAGCTGTGATGACCTGTCTACACTGCAGAGGTGTTTTTTGAAAAACGGGCGTTTTTCAGAAAAAACTTCCCTTACAGCCACGTTACAATAGCATTCTTTCAGCGTTTTTCCAGAAAAAACTTCCCTTACAGCCACGTTACAATAGCATTCTTTCAGAAAAAAATTGAAAGAACAGAGGGGTTTTTCTGACATTGGTCAACCTCTTTCTATGAGGAAGAAGCCTTTTTCTGAAAGCTCTTTTGGAAAAACGTGTGTGTGGATGGGGAAGAGGGAGTTCTTTTGAACGAACTCTGTCCTTAGTAATCACAGCTTAAATGCGAAATAGCGTCCATTCAGTGTGGATGCTATCTTTCGAAAAAGCAGATCGTTTTTTGATGCACTTTTGCTGTGCAGATGCTCTCTTTTGGAAGACGTTATTTTGGAAAATCTGTTCTGGAAAAGCTTCTTCTGAAAGAAGCTTGCAGTCTGGACATAGCCCTGGTCATGACATCTTTGAGAAATGTCTGAAATGGATCCAAAGTTCCAGGTGTTTATCACAAAAATAGTTACATTTATTCCGATAGGTGTTTTTCAAACAGTCATTCCGAGAAGTTAAAGTGGCCAGCTGGGACAGTACTTTAGTGAGAATAGGAACAGGAACAAATACATGACAATGAAAATTGGGACTATATCCCCTCTTCCTTGCTCTCTTGGGCACCATGGCTAAACACTACATCTGTAACCCAGCTTTGAGACCTTTCTTCCACTGGCACTTGTCCCTTCTCTTCACTCTGCCCCCTGCTGTGTGTTCCAGGTTTACCTGCATCCCACCGAGATGGCTTTCTCCAGCCTGTGCTATCCAGAATGCGGGGTGGCCCGGCCCAGCCCCGTCTCTGGTACCTGCAACGAGCCGTGCGTTCGGCAGTGCCCTGACTCCGAAGTGGTGATCAGACCCTCCCCGGTTGCGGTGACCCTCCCCGGACCAGTTCTCAGCACCTTCCCTCAGCAGAGCGAAGTGGCAGCCGTAGGAGAACCTGTGGTGGGAGCCGGCTACGGGGGCTCCTTCGCTAACGGGGGATTGTACGGCTATGGAGGCCGTTACGGAGGGTTGTTCGGTTATGGGGGTTATGGTTATGGAGGCCGTTACGGTTACGGGGGATACCCAGGCTTTTACGGGTATGGGGGATATTGCGGCTACCCAGGCTTTTTTGGGGGTGGGGACTGCGGCTACCCAGGCTATTATGGTAACTGGGGATACCCAGGATATTATGGTGGATTATGCGGTGGATACGGGGGATATGGCCGCAGGTACCTTGGCGGATACTGTGGGCCTTGCTAAACCCAGCAGGACCATCCGTGGCAGACCCAGGCAATGAACGGCCGGATACAGATTCCCCCCTGAGCTTTGGGGCTTGGCTTTCAGACGTGCTGGGCAAACCCGGCTCCAGCTGAGCTCAGTGGGAGCTGTGTGTGCTCAGCCCTGGGTCTGGGAGCCAGGCTGCATTGCTCCCCTCACGCTTCATGGCTCCTTCTGCTCCTGCTTTGCCAGCCCCGCGCTGAGTCTCCTCCTGGCCTGTGGGCTCCTTCTGAGTGACACGCAGGCTGCTCCCACCGACCCTGCTGGGTGACAGAAAAGGGGGCCTGAGAAAAGCCTCAGTGACACCAATTGTCATTGTAAGTCCCTGTATGTGGGGGAGAAAAGATACATTTCTGTCCAGGAGAACCAGGGCCAACATGTTCTACTTTCCATCCATCTTCACCTTTAGCGCCTCGCTTTGACCTTCTCTGAGGCAGATGTACAATGGAGACGCTGCGCAGACCTCTGCTTTTCTTTAGCTTTCTCTCACTTTCCACCAAATGGGGTAAAAGAAGGAATTTAAGGTGGTTGCAAAGGGGACTCTTGTGTCAACCTGAGCAGCTGCAGCAAAGCAAAATGAACGTAGTGTCTGAAATGTCCCCCTTTGAGACAGGTGATCAGTTGTAGCCCTTCTTGAAACTGTGTAAATACTCTTTCTGCTCTGTGGAATCACTTCTTTTGTTTATTGCCAATTCCCATTAAAAATTCTGATGCATCATAATATCTGTGTGGTGGTTTTCTTTGTCCATCCGTTTTTGCTGAAATAAATTGGTAAGCAGACTAGGAGCGCTGGCTGCTTCTCACACTGGAGGACGTCATGGAGGCACATGTGGTGATAGAAGCTTATAACCCCCTTGCAATTTATTCCAGTGTGTAAGCACCACGTCAGGAAGTTTTCCCTAATGTCCAACATAAGCCTCCCTTGCTGCAATTTAGGGCCATTGCTTCTTGTGCTACGATCAGAAGCCGAGGAGAACAATGTTTCTCCCTTGATCTTGTAACACCCTTTTAGATACTTGACATCCGCTATCATGTCCCTTCTCCGTCTTCTTTTTTCCAAAACTAAGCAAACCCAATTCCTTCAGCCTTCCCTCATAGCTCATGTTCTCTAGACCTTTAATCATTCTCGTTGCTCTTCTCTGGACCCTCTCCAATTTCTCCA